CAGAAGCCGTTCACTTAACAACAAGATATTGTCTTAAAAGCTAGAACAGGAGCAGCCTGAGCTCTCCCGGTCCGACAAGTCTACCATCATCAACCTACCCCATTGTATATGAGGTATTTGCGAGGTATCACTCTGAAACAGGTTTTAAAGTTACACAGAGAGTAAATATGGGATAACAGAATTACATTTATTCCAACAGTGACACAATACGTTAATTGGACTGCTGCTATTTGGGGACATTGATAAATACAGTGTGATCGCGAACATTCTGAAGCATTTGACCCAAACATATACAGGCTGAACAAAAGGGGTCCAAAGACCGAGCCTTGAGGGTCCCTTTAGGCCCGTGTGCTCCATTTAACCATGAATCTTACCATATTATCAAGGTTGTTTACTTGTTTTCTTTGTGTTTTCAGGGGTAACCACTGTGCTCACAATGACGACACTGAGTATAAGCGCTCGCAACTCCCTTCCCAAGGTCGCATACGCCACCGCCATGGACTGGTTCATTGCTGTCTGCTATGCTTTTGTCTTCTCTGCTTTGATTGAGTTTGCCACAGTCAATTACTTCACCAAGCGTGGCTGGGCTTGGGATGGAAAGAGTGTTGTGACTGACAAGGTGATGAGGAAAAACAGTTTAGACAAAGATGACATTACCAATATGGTACACTAAGAGGAACATAAGCTCAGAAAAATAATTTTTTTTAAATTGTGTTACTGATCCTACACATCAAAACAGTATTTAGTAAATATGAAGATTCTAGATCAGTTATAACTATATTTTTAATTTGTATTTTATGTGATACATGACATGAAGAAACTTTAATATAATGTCATAGTAAAACCTTTAAACAATATTAGAATATTTAAAAAAAATGTGAGGTGGATTGTAGGAAGAATAAAACAAAACATTGTAGATTGAGTCCAACCAGTTTTGGGATAAAACAACTGCCAGAGTCCTAATAATACCATAAAAACATAAAAATTTCAACACCCAAGTGTATATAGTAAAAGTACAACAGGAAGATCAAAACTACTCACAGTGCAAGGCCTGCTTCAGGTGACTTCATGTGTTGAGCTTTTCAACAATCTTAACGACTTCATTAACTCGTGTTAATAACTCATAACTCATGACATGTGATTACTGCATTTGTCGGGTAGGCGGGACTCTTCACGTAAGCACTAAACATATTGGTTTACATTCTGTTTGTGCTTTCTTCTTGATGTTGACGTATAGTTGACTTTTCCATGTTGTACTAGATAGCTAGAGCAGAGGCTTCCATCTTTTCATCACTTTAGGGTTCAAGTATTGACATTTGTGTATGCTTGTCTTTTAGACATTTTAATTGATTCTTTTGGTCTGTCGACAGAAAAAAGAAAGGGCATCTGTGATCAAGAAGAACAACGCCTATGCTGTAGCAGTGGCCAATTATGCTCCGAATATTACCAAGGACTCCGGCACGCTTCCAACCATTGCCAAAGGAGGCGCTCTGGAACCCATCAAGGCCAACGCAGATGGCAAGGTCCCTGAGAGCAAAAAGACATTCAATAGTGTGAGCAAAATTGACAGGATGTCAAGGATTTTGTTTCCCGTTCTCTTTGGTTCCTTCAACCTAGTTTACTGGGCCACCTACTTAAACAGAGAACCTGTCATCAAGGACATGGTGCCCTCCACTTAGAGGCCGGTTTTAACAAGTTCTGGTCAGGGGGCCTCAGAACCAAATACCTCCAGCAACTGTGTGTACATACAGTACTGTTGCAGAGTGATGTCCTGGATTGCATCGTGATCCTCTAGCTCCACCTATTTTCTACACCGTCTGCGGCACATTTTGACAACTCTGTCTTTTGGAAATGTCTGTTTATTTATATTCCCATTTCAATGTGTGATGACTTCTACTAGAATGTGTATTTCCTTGAAAGTTTGTTTTTTCCAGTTGGAGTATGTGACCACCATAATATCAATGTGAACACAAACATTTACAATGATTTGAAGTTACTTCGAAATACTTCAATTTTGATGTAATCAAAACCATTTGCTTGATGTTTTCTTGTTGTTTTTTTTTGGAGTGAACGAGATTATCAAGGTTACATTTTGATTACGTTTGACTCTTTTCTGTTTTGCCAATTTAAACGTGGCCAGACTTGTTCTGTCCAAGCCAATGCAAAAACACAGTTGTATAGTATTGTTACAGAATCAATGTTTTATTATCTGTGCTATGACTATCGGTATGAGGTTGTAATGAACATTAAAAACACACACACACACAAACATATTTAGTGTGTTGTAGGCTAAAATGTACACCTATATTTTATTGTAATTGCAAACAAAAATTTAAAAGTTGAAAAACGACAACTTACAGCCAGGTATATTCAAAGCTGAGATATGTTCACGAGACAAGCCTTAAGATACATTTTCACATATGACCACGAAGGGAAGTAATGGTGGAGGAAAATGCAAGAGTAGTTAAAACAAACAAACAAAAAAATAATAGAGGGGAGGGGGAAAAAAGGGTCGTGGCTCGTGCGGTGGACATTTTTGGATCGCAACTAAACTATCTTACCTTAACCTTACTATCACCAGTTATCGTTCACAATTCAGACAGTGTTTTTCAATCAGATGTTTGTTTTTGGTGAGGAAATAGTTTTGTAGCGAGGTGCAAGACTAACCAAAACAGTACATTTGTAATATTCTTGTTACAACATAGAATATGAAATATTTGTGCCGTGTTCATTTAATTTTATTTATATTTTAATTGCTGCAGTAACTTGAAATGAAAAGATTTTAGATGAACTGTAAAAAAAAAAAAAACAGTGACCGACTTTTTCTAGTGTTGTAATGTGAGAGGATACGGCAATGTTAACTGTTGTGGTGTGTGTGTGCGTGTGCGTGTGCGTGTGTGTGTGTGTGTGTGTGTGTGTAACATTTCTACTGGCACTCAGAGAGGATCGTGTTTTCTGAAGAGAAATAACCCCAGTCCAATATCAGTAGCCACATATTTTGCATTTCCTTTCAGTAATTTTATCTACTGAACAACAGTCTATTTTTATTTGATTGCTTATTCCAATTTTGCATGGCATAACAATCTTGCTTGCTTTCTTATCTTGCCCAACATTCCTTCTTTGCAGATTTATTCTTTGGCATCTTATTAAAATTCTTATACATTTCAGATAAGAATGATTGTTCACAAGGTCGATGCGCTCATTTTCTCACAAAACATATCACCTGAAAATGATATACTGTAGTTACTTGTTATTTTGGGGATTTTTAACAATGCACTCTTGTCCTAGTAGTTATACTCTTAAAACTGCTGTGAATTATGGGTTGACATTTTTGATTTCGGAAAAAAAAAAATCAAAGACAGTCAAACTGTTAATGTTGGAAAATACTTATAATCTCGACAGGCAATTTTAAAACAAAGTCAAACAAGCGTAAAAGTAAGTTAAGCACTGCATATTACGATATCTAACTCAATCCTCCCAACATTATTGACAGAGGCGCCAGATGACGTTGCGTCACGTCAAAGGTTTTACATTTTTCACAGTGTCACAGCAGTAAATTTTTACAGCCTGATAATTCACATGGTTCCTACTGTAATTGTAGCATGTTGTCAGCATCCTTCTTTTCTAAAATTAAGATCAACTATTGATCTCGAACTTGAAGAGGAAATTTAATGACTAATGATGCCATTAAGGTTAGAGATAAGCAGTTTGTTTGGAATTTTGTTCGCTTACTTAACCGTGATTTTTGGCCTACACGTAATACAGTTCTAACAAGTCCATACGAATAACTGCGATGTGACCTCGATGGAAAAAAGTTTGACATCAAGCCAATACTGTACAGCCTGTACAGCAAGTGCGTAGTGCGCTTTTTAAAATACCTCTCCAACGATATCCATCCAAATTAATAAATACAATTAAACAAATTCTGACCAATTTATTAATGAAGTGGCCATTCATTTTTCATTATTTCACAAATGCACCAATACATTAATCGTTAATGCGCATTAAAATGTCTGAAAACATCCATATCAAAACAGATCAGTTATATTTTGAACAGTGGCGATTGCTCTCGGACTGCAAGGGAAGTAAGTGATCAAATATATTAATGTAAATTTCATTGTGTGTACATGTCATTGACTAAATATGCGCTGCAACGTGCTCAACTTTTGTTCCGAATCAGCTTCTTCTTACTGGTTAGGACGCGACTCCCTTCTCATTCATTCCAGCAGTTTCGCTGTGCTTTCAATGGTGGACGCTGAGCGTCAGCATAGAGTCCACTGCCCGGACGTCGAGCGTCTCGAGAGTTCAGGGTAGGTTGTCCCAATGCGTTGAACGGAGACGAGTCATTGGATACAAGCTGGTTTTTGTCCCGCCCTTGGACGCTCGGTCTCTCTGGGACTGGATGGCAGTGGGAGGGTACCGGACGCCAGGCTTTTCTGCATCAGATTGGATGATCTGTCTGAGCCTGTGTGCCAGTTTGATTGACATCAAAATGAGCCAATCACCGACCTTTTAGTGTAGGCATCCGTGTGAGCAATTTTTCAATTGGCATTCTGTTCTGAGTTGAGCTGGAGACTCCCCCTAATCATCTTAGCGACACTCTTTGTTGTAAACAACTAGCAACAAATTAATCTTTTATTTCTGGTGGGTTTTATTGTTGTTCCTGTAGTTGTAGGACACTAATTAAGTCCCTGGAAAAGACGCCTTGTTGGTATGACAGGCTCACAGATAATTTTCTTGAAAAGGAAAGGAGAGTAGAATTCACGTATAAATAAACGGACACATTTTATGACGTCGGCCAAAATTGAGCTTCCCCTCTTTGACAGACCAGCATCCGCCACTGATGTTGAAGAATGTGAGGCGTGACAGGAGGACAGAAAGTGGGTCGAAAAAATGTATATGTCGTGCAAAGCCTGTTCTCCGAGAAGCAGATTCGTTACAATAGCAACTGGCTTTGGGTTTTTTTTTTTTTTTTTTTTTTTTTTATTATTCATTCAGCGGGTTGAGTAGGCGGGATTTCCAGTTCTCCGACGCTTGCAAGTGTTAATCGGGTTATCTTTAAATGCATTTGATGGTCTGTATTATCTGGATATACCATTCTGTAATTAGTACAGGTATATTGTATTTGTCGTTGTCGTCTTACTTGCACTGCGAAGACTCTATTTCCCACAATCCTTTGCTGCTGGAAAGTCGACCAAGATGTCAGCGCCCGAGAGGTTCGTGTCCGGGGTTGTTGCAGGACTATAAGCTTACAAAAAAAAAATTACGATTTAAAAAAAATAATCATAAACCTCCATTAACGCGAACTGATGTGACTCTCTTAGCATTGTTTGCAACATTTTATTATACTGCGTCAGCAGTGGATATTTTGTACTTTGCTTATCTTGATCACGTTGTGGGATTTTTAAACAAATGATTGTTTCTGTCGTGCACCAGTGGTGTGGAACGCCACTGTCACCATGTGTTTTACTATTTAAAATTTGCAGACGGAAAATTCCAGACCATATTATGAATTATTCCGTCTTAAAACGTTGCTGTATGAAGAGGCTGCATGTTTTTTCGAATAATTTCAAGCAGCAGTTCTCGAATCTCAGCACACAAAGTGACAAGGTAACACCAGCTGTGAAATAAAACGTCTTGTTTTCTATTTAGAGTCTTAAATGTAGCATTGACCAAATTTTGTCTTATTGTGTTGCGTAGGAAGTCATTGACCTATCCGAGTTTCCTGTGGATAGAATCAGGAATTTTTGCATCATTGCACATATTGACCATGGAAAAAGCACACTGGCTGACAGACTATTGGAAATGACAGGTATGTTTGCAAACATGGCTGGATATCGAACCACCGATCAGCAATTCCGATCGATTCTTTTTTGTATATTCAATTTGAGCGAAACAGCTCTTTTTCGACATGATGAAAGCAAAATCATTAAATTGCATTCTTTTCGTTTTAGGAGTAACTAAATCACATCTTAGTTTTTTTTGAGCATGTCACCACAAAATCGTTAATAAATTTACAACGCACGTGCAAAGTCTATTGAGATCCTGTACAAACCTTGTTTTAAAAAAGACACTGCAGACGACAGTCAATACAAAACAACAGCATCTTGTTCAACGTTCCAAATAGTCATGGCCCAATTTTAGATTGTGACGGGCTTAAGAGTGAGCAAAAATATTGCAGTATCACCGGACTGAAATTACAACTCTACATTTACCTTTTTGACATTTGAGTGAATGCAAACATTTTTCAGTCTATTTTATTTGTTAATAAATATAGAATATTCAGTACAGAAAAAAAACATGTAACATGTTAAGTGTCAATAAATAAATGCTAACCTTTCTCTGTTTTAATTCTTGTTAGATAGTACCCGCTGGCATTTTTTTTAAACAATGCACAGAGCAAAAATTGTGCATAACTGCCCAATGACAAAAAGGGGGAGAAAAAAAAGTTAATTGGAGGTCGCTTGTTTACTCAACTTTGCAAGCAGCCCATCATATTGTGCCCTGTACAGACGTGTCCTCAAAAAAAACAAGAGAAGAGTTCATTACCGGTGACAGCCAGTATCAGCGCTCAAAGAAACCTTGATTTTTGAGAAACCACAATTAACTATCAAAGCGGTAATTGGCACATGCCTAGTTCCAATCAGTTGGTATAAATTATATATATTTTCAGTATTAGATCTCTTTATGTTGTTTAGGTAGACCGAGAAGTGTCCAGTGTGTTTCCATTCATCATGTTTTGGGTTGTCGTGAACCATGTGTTGAAGTAAGGTATCGTTAATGGCTGTCATTACCAGGCGCTATAGCAAAGACAGACAAGAACAAACAGGTGCTGGACAAACTCCAGGTGGAGCGAGAGAGAGGCATAACCGTGAAGGCTCAGACGGCCTCTTTGTTTTACACACACCACGGCCAACAGCACCTTCTGAACCTCATTGACACACCGGTAAGTCCACTATTGGATTTTGTGAAATAAAGTCAAACGCAATCCATTCTCGGCTATTAGTCAACTGCTGTGCCGTTAAGTTTCCCAAGGAGATCATAGAATTAGAAAAAAAGAAAATTGTTCCAGCTCGGGTCAAGCTATTTGCCATTGTGACGCTATTATTAGCTGTCAGGAAATCTTTGAAGTTACATTTGAACTTTTACTAGTCTTCATATTAAGATGTCTAAATAATGACTTTATGGTCATGATGTCCCTTTGCTTCTCCTCGTGTCCAAAAATGAATACCTGATGAAGTGTACAAAGTTTTCTATTTTTTATAGTCGCTATCCATTTAGAAAGGTCTATTTCTCGTTGCTGGTGAGACAAATTTGCCTGCTTTTTTTTTTTTTTTTTTTTTTAGAGCGTTAACCCTGTAATAATATTCTCGACAACCATATTTGTTCCGCTGATCGTAGCTGTTTTTATGTGTCGTCTCTCCACAGGGACACGTTGACTTCAGCTATGAAGTGTCTCGGTCCATATCTGCCTGTCAGGGTGTCCTGCTGCTTGTTGACGCCAATCAGGTACAAGAGCCGCAGCTTGGGTGTTTCTGCAAATGTGTGTGTAGTCGATGCAGGCCATTTTTGATGTCTGTGTCGTTTAAGGGCATTCAAGCACAGACAGTGGCCAACTTCTATCTGGCCTTTGAAGCTCAGCTCACGATCATCCCTGTCATTAACAAGGTAATACGTAAACTGCTTGGCCTTTGATTTTAGTGGACGTCTTAGCACCTTTAAGGTTGTACGAACTTTTTATCAACATGTCCAACGCGGAAATATGCGTGTATTTTTGAGTGAAGTGGATTTGACCAAATTTGACGAGAGATGGGGTAGCATTGCAAGGCACTCTGACTATATTGTGCACCCAATTGCACACGAGAAGTGAACTGCGTTTCGTCCTTGGCTGGTTTTACAAGTGCCCAATTCTGATGTAATGCCTTAATTTTTTTTATATTTTTTTTGACTGTCTCATCACATTTCAAGCTTTCAAGTGGTTAACATGATGTTTTTGGAATGTGGGCATAATCTGCAGTACCTGGAGAGAACCAATTATTTTCCTTATTTAATGTTTTATATACTTCGACTGTAAAACCACATTTAATAGTCGATGCTTTTGCTTTAGTTTATAATCACGGGATGCTTTTTGAATGTGTTTATTTTTGCTGTTTGGGCAGAAGTGGATGATTATTTGTCTCCAATTGGTGTGTTTGGATGACAACAAGGATTATCTTCGACCTTGGCAGTTTCACTCGTGTACATGTTTTTTGGTCTTGAGGGCCTTCTGGATCTAATACTTTATTTCCAATTACTATTCCTCCAGATTGATTTGAAAAACGCGGATCCAGAGAGAGTGGAGTCCCAGATTGAAAATGTGTTTGACATTCCTCGCGAGGACTGCATTCGGGTAAGTTGAAGAACACTTTTGCACCATTTTTCGGCTCCATCATGTAAATAATTGTTTTTGTGAATTCCTCTTTTTTCAGATATCAGCTAAACTGGGTACGAATGTTGAAAATGTTCTCCAAGCCGTTGTTGAGCGAATTCCACCGTAAGATGCTGCCCAAGAAAGCTGTTATTTGGGATTTATGGCAGTAATGAGACATATCACTGCAATTTTTTTTCCCATGTTCCCTCAGGCCTACAGCAATTGTTCATGACCCCTTCAAAGCACTGGTCTTTGACTCCAATTTTGACCACTACAGAGGAATAGTAGCTAACATTGCTGTGTTTGCTGGTCATGTCAAAAAAGGGGACAAGATCGTCTCCGCACATCTTGGCAAAGCCTATGAGGTCAACGAGCTCGGACTTCTTTGTCCACAGGAGCATCCCACACAGAAACTGTAAGATGCATTCTGTCTTGACTCACATGTTTTCTACTTATCCACCACCGCAGTGGTTTTAAAATAAAACATGTCATTATGTATATGTTTTTGGATTATTTCACAATTTACATTTCCTTGTTGTTTCATTAAAAGGTTTTTGTCATTCTGTCAAAATACTGCACACAAAGGTTAAAAAGTTATCCCACACATAACTTCAATAAAGTGTACATTTAAGCACTTTGAATGTTGATTTTTTTCAACCAATACAGCAGTATTTCTGTAAGTACAAAGTGGCCAAACAATGAGTCTTTGCAACAAACATGGATCGGCAAAAGAGTAATGCAGTATTCGTGCGCGGATTCGTCCACTTGTCCATTCAGATGCTTCTTACGCTTGTTTTGAGATTGAGGTGGTTTCCGTCTCAGATTTGCGGGACAGGTGGGCTACCTCATAGCCGGGATGAAGGAGGTAAAGGAGGCACAGATTGGGGACACCCTCTACCACCAGGACCAGCCAGTGGAAGCTCTGCCTGGCTTTAAGCCAGCCAAAGCAATGGTGTTTGCTGGTAAGAAATTCACCAAGTATACTAACAATACAAAATACTTTGTCCCAAATTGGAGCTGAAAGGCAGTTCAGGTTTTATCCCATCAGTTAAGAAAAGGGATGATGAACCAACAGCAAAGTTATGATATTTTATTTTTGTTTATAACCTTTATTTAACCGGGTTGGTCAATTAAGAAAATTGAGAACCATTCCTCATTTACAGTGACGACCGAGGCCAGAGGCAGCATGTAGCAGTATAGTTCATGAAAACTAAGAAAATAACTAAAACAAAAAAATTGAAAAAGTAATTTCATGAACAAAATAAAATGAACATGGAAATGCTTTCAAAAAACAAAATGAAAACAAAGAGATACTTCATATTTTGTTTATAAAACTTACAATAATTATAGCATAAATATAATTTTCATCTCAGTATTGCTGGACGTCTGACCAGAAGAAGAAGCGGGAAAGTCAGTCATTTAAGGATTGTAGTTTATTTACGATGCTTAGTGACCTTTTATTTATTTATTATTTTTTTAATCTTCCACTTCAGAGATACTCCATTTAGCAAATAAACTAATACTAATACTAAAACTAATAAACCCGAAAGTAAAGCAAAGCATTTTCAAAAAAAGAAAACTGTACAAACTTGCTCAAAAAACAAATTCAAACAGGCTGAATTAAAAAAAGGCAAAATTAACTCCCCCCAAAATAAATAAATTGTGTGTGTGTGTGTGTGTGTGTGTGTGTGTGTGTGTGTGTGTGTGTGTGTA